TACAAAAGAGACCTGCTTTTATCAAAGAATACAGATGAAGTACAGACAACAGTAGACAATCATATAAAAAGCATATAAATGAAAAAATAAAATAAAAATGATATTAAAACAAAACAAAAAAAAGCTACATTATAAAGCGATGTGAACCACTGATTGATTATGTGATTATAAACCACTTGACAGATTTCAATGACATTTTCAGAAAGTAATTGTTGCAAATACATCTGTAAATAATAAACTTGTGAAATCAATTTAATATAAAAATGGCTGTAACTCAATCATCCATCCATTATATTTTACCTGCTTCCTCCTTTTCAGATCACGTGGGTCACTGGTGCTCAAATCCAGCTGTCACTGTGTGAGAGGTGGGGGACACCATGGACCGGTCGCAAGTCCATCACAGGGACACATAGAGACAAACAACCATTCACTCTCTCATTCTCACCTAGGGACAATTTGAGTTACCAGTCAGCCTAACATGCATGTTTTTGGTCTGTGGGAGGAAACAGGAGTACCTGGAGAAAACTCATGCCTGCATAGAGAGAACATGCAAAGTCCACCCAGAAAGGTCCCCGGCCGAGATTTGAACTGGCAACCTTCTCGCCGAGAGGCAACAGCTCTACCAACTGAGCCACCGTGTCGCCTATAACTCAACAGTTTTTACAGAAATCGAGTTAACATATGAGTGTCATCCCTACATATATTCTGAGTGTGGTGTTCACTTTTGTTACAAATATTAATCAAAACATGTTTTTATTCTGGATGGATGCTCCTGAGGTGTCTCATGTGAGAACTGAAACACCAAACATATTTCTGTCTGTTTTATTAATGTTATGTTTTTTTCCTCTACAATGTTTGCCCACTTCACTATCTTCAGCATGCGACTTGAATAATTCAGACTCCCTTTGTGTCATCACAGTGAATGAAACATGAGTGAAATTGATGAGACAGTTATTTGCCCCCAGTCCCCCAAGTGTCATCAAATCCACAAACTCCTGTGTTTCATGTGATGGCAACAGCATGAAGCAGAAAATCAATAATAAATCTTCTTGTTGAGCTTTTTCAACATTTGTCTTTGTCCAGATCCCACGTTGCTCTAGTAAAATTTTAAATCATGCAAAAAGTGACAGGAAATGAATCACTGTGATTCAAAGACAACTACGTTATTTAAATAATCATCTAAATGCGTTTTATTCATTTTCCCTGCTTTTGACACTTGTGTTATTTTTTTTTGTACAAATGTTTGTTTGTTTTTTCCAATATTTTTTTCAGTAAAACACAATATAAGTTTACCTTAATTGGCTGAAGTGTTTAGAGGCCTTTTACTAATTTACATAGAAAAAAAAACAACTCAAAATTGACTCACATTCACACACAATGATCTTTTAAAATATACTCCTTCACTAGAAGAGATATTCCAGTAGAAGCAGAGCAGTTATACATGGTATTTTGTTCATTGGTATTTACTTTTCTCTTCCTTATTGTAGTGGAGTAGTTTGTGCTCCTGAATAATCCTAGGAGCTATGCAGTTGGGGGTATACTGTAACTGCCCCTGGTAGGGTCTATCATGGCAGATTAGTCCAGACCAGACAAAGAGTGATTCCAAAAACTCATATGGACAGAAAATAGCAAGAAGTGCAATGTCCCTTGCTCGAATGTGAGTTACTGGGGTCCCACCCTGGGGCCCAGTAAGGCTAAGCTTGAACGAGCAACATGGGATTGCCTTCTTGTGGTCCCACCACCTCCAGGACAGGCCATACAAGTAGAGTGCATGACACCATGGGCAGTGGCTGAAGGTGGGGGCATGGTGCTCTGACCCTGACTTACCAAAGCTGATTCTTGAGACATGGAACATAACATCTCTGGTGGGGAAGAAGACTGAGCTTGTGTACGTGAGCTCACCTCGATGCACAGCATAGTCTCTGGAATCAATCTCCTTGAGAGGGGCTGGACCTTATTCCTCTCTGGAGTTGCCCATGGTGAAAGGCGCTGAGCTGGTGTGGGTCTACTCTTAACCCCCCGACTTGGTGAGTGTGTGTTGGAGTTTTCCCCAGTAGATGAGATGGTAGCTCCCCTGCACCTTAAGGTGTGGGGACTGGCTCTGACAGTTGTTTGTGCTACGTGCCAAACAGCGATTCAGAGCATCCGACCTTCTTGGAGTCTTTAGCAGGGGTGCTGGAAGGTGCTCCTGCTGGGGGACTTTAATTCCTACGTGGGTGACCTGAAGGAGCATGATTGGGAGGAATGGCCTCTGATCTGAACCTGAGCTGTGTTCTGTTGTTGGACATCTGTGCTAGTCATGGTTTGTCCATCATGAACACCATGTTCGCACATAACGGTGTGCATATGTGCAGTTGGCACCAGGACATCCTGGTCGTAGATCAGTGATTCACTTTGTAGTTGTGTCGTCTGATTTGCAACCATTTGTTTTGGACACTTGGGTCAAGAGAGTAGCTAAACGTGTAGTAAGGGTTAACTGGGAATGCTTGGAAGAAGAACCCATCAGAAAGATCTTCAACTCACACCTCTGGGAGAGCTTTAATTGCATCCCAGCACGCAATATCGCAACGAACGCATCGCAACGAACGCATCGCAACGAACGCATCGCAACGAACGCACCGCAACGCACCGCAACGCACCGCAACGCACCGCAACGCACCGCAACGAACGCACCGCAACGAACGCACCGCAACGAACGC